ATATAATGGAAAGAACTAATTTCATATTTACAGTTCTAAGCAGTACACTGGATATACTGCTCTTCACAACACTCCTTATCCCATGCGTCCACAGTGCTGATTACTCCCCCTCAGAGGGTGTTTCTGCACATTTGTTTGTGTCCAGTCAGCCCTCAGAAAGGTCCTTCAATCTACATGAAGGCATCTCATGAAATAAGTTACCGTTACGTTCTACTCATGATGATAAACATTCCCTCTCATTAGGTTTATATTTTCCTTTAATACAAACCTATGCACCAAAATTCTTTGTTTCTCCAGCATAAATCTGAAGAAACTACATTGAAAACAAGGCACTGCTCCAGACTCGGATCTACTGTGCAAACTCAAACCCATCATTTGTAGATAACAATACACATGTAGTGTAATGGTAGTCAGAAGCCTACTTTGCTATTTTTACCCATAGTCCCACATGTACTACAGGACAAAATCTCTGTCTTTGGGAACTCCATCATCCAGGACAAAGCAACACTCAAGACTCTTCTATACAGTCTCAAAATAACATAGCTGTAACTCCTATCAACCTTGAGAGGAAGACTGATCTCTAGTTTTACACTAAGGCTTTGCTGAAAGCAGTTGATCCAGAACAGTGCCAACTTGAACCTTACAGTGTGAGTTTATTTCCCTTGTTTGAGCCAATTTGAAATCTGTTATTTGTGTATTGGTTTACGTAGGACAATAGGTAGTAATAAGAACCATGATTTTAAAAGGTTTGGCTGATTTAGTATCAAAGCATAAGTTGTCCACTTTTTTTTCTTCCTTTACAGCACTAATCGTCTAAACTGCAAAGTGCCTGGGCCATAATCACAGATCCTATTGAAAAATAACACAGTTTAACACTATAGCAAGAAATGGTTTTGATTCAATAATAACAGCAATTTCTGAAAAAAAGTGACAAAATACAGACATCGAATAGACAGGTCTGAAAAAATAAATCAAACATACACATGGCTAACAAGTGTAGGAAAAAGCACATAGTAGATGCTCACAAACTTGGGAAAAATGGTTATCAGACCACCCTTTTTTTGTGTTTTGCTAGGCACCTTCATAGGAGATACTGAGGAGGCTCAAGTCCTGCTCCAGAGTATTTTCCAGGTAAAAAGCAGAGGGAAAACATCACAACTTACTTCTCCCTCTGAAAGCCTGTCAGATGCCATTCAAGTTATTTCTGGGTAACTGGCACTGAGTTGGAGGAGGACCTGCTATATTGTACTGCATCCCTTCTACAAAGGGTATGATCACCTAACTAAAATGGTGCAATAATGTATCTTCAGGAGAAGAAGTTGTATGTTGCTGCCACATGTGTCAACAAGCAGTTTAAACTTACCCTCACTATATTCAGTATCAGTGCAGTTCCTGTAACTCTTAAAGTAACACATGCTAGGGAAATGGTATATCAGTGTGATCATTGATTCAAATTAAATTAGCTTAAATCACACAAAATCAATAATTTAAGGTGAAAATTTATGAACTATTAAATTAGGTATGTTCGATACCTGATTGACATCAAGCCTCTTCAAGTTCTCCAGCTTCCATTCTGCAAGAAATAAAGTACATGAACAGCTAATCTACACAGATTTGAAAGGGCTAATTCCATTGACATTTCATGCCTTGTTGCCATTTTCTGTAAAGTATTGGTACTAAAGAAAATCATAATTTGACTTTAGGATGCCAGTTCAAGAAGGTTACAGATGGAACTCAACAGGCAGAAACAACAAAACACATTCATTTCAGTTCACATTTTCTTTTATCCAGCAGGATAAATTGCTGCTTGCAAATCTCTGACCTAGATCAGTTGAAGAAAGGCCAAGGGTTTTGGTTTTTTTCTCTCAATACAGTGATGTATTACCTCCTGTGCCAAATAAAAGAATTAAACTCAGGTTTAGGAGATGGGCTGTTAAATCTCTTCAACAGTTTATAAAAAAGATTAACCCAAGGTCCCAAATGTACTGGTACAGCGTAGTGCAAACATATTAGACCCTAAAGCTGTGGTGCATCACACCAAAAGCTAGTTCAAAAGTGTATTTTCCTGCTCTCCGTTGGCCTCTAGGGAAATAAAGAGAAAACTGTCTGCTTTCTTTGGGGGTGGAGAATTATTTAAAAACAGAGTTTAGCAAGATTTGGGTTTTTTCTTTCATACATCTACAGTATTGAATATGCCAAACTTATTTCCAGCAATTTGTTTATACCACTGCTAGCTTTGGGGATCTGTGTAGAGGTCCACTATGATTCGGTCCCAAAAATTCCCTGAAGAGCAGCCATGTACCTTAACAGTAGTGAGACATACAGCTACAGCAAGTTCCCATGGCAACACAACAGAGGTATTAGAAGCATTAATCATGAATTGTGCTAAACTCACACTAAAATGAACAAGTTCACTTCCTTTTGCTTCCTAGAAAAGGGAAATGGGTTTATACTTCTACAAACAGACTCTCACCCATATTTCTATTAAATAAATGCATTGCTTGCTTTCCTTTACATAAGATTTTCTAAAGAAAAATGTTGAAAAACTGTCTATGCATACACAAAATGCTAGAGAAAACATCTAGCTTTGTCAAAACCTTTTTCATCTCCACTTCTCCTATTCAGATATTTTCAAAGACAGAATTGAAAACGTCTGCATAGGACCAGGAGCTGCAGGACATTGAGCCCAGGAAATACGGAGAACTGGGACACACCTGCAGAGAGGCCAGTCTGGGCTGTACTTCCAGGGGTGAGGTGCCTTGGCTTTACATGCTGCCCACACTGTTTTACGATTCCAGCTCACTGTCTAAGTTTCTTATACGGTGCTCAGTTTTCCAACCAATTGATTAGAGGGTTTTTTTGCCTTTATCCTGCCCTGCTTTTACTGCAGCCCACTGGGCTGTCAGAGGCAAACAGTCCAGGGGAAACAGCAGGGAGGTGCCAGTTCAAGAGACTGAGGATGAGACTACATGAACCAAAGAAAATCTCACAAAGGACTTCACAGAGACAAAAACAGTGGAGGGGTACGCTTGAGCTTCCTCAGCTGTGGCTGCAGCTCTGCTGCTGTCCTGCTGCAGAAGGTTGCCCCTTCACTTACAAGCTTCTCTGGACTTGCACCCCAAGGCCATCTGTTAGTCCACGAGGAGATGAAAAGTAGCTCTGTATTCTCCTTCTTTCTGAAGAAGGCTCAAACCAATGGCCAAATGGGTAATATTTCATGTTGCCCACAGGATGCAGGGCTGCCACAACAAATCTTTCCAAGAGGATTGCCTGACCAGGCCTGAGGGAAGGTAGAGCACAGGTAAAGGAAGTGATGAGGAGAAGGCTGTCATGCCAGAGCAGACTCTGTGCCCTTCTGGCCATCCAAGGAGCACATTCATCCTTCTATGACAAACTGGACAGGCTAAGTCCTGCCTGTTGGCACTGCCTTTGGCACTACAAACCCTCAATGGCAATAATGAGAAGAGAGACAATTCACTGAGCTGCCCACAGGATGTTTGCACTGAACAGAGCATAAGAAGTTTCTCAGCATTAGAAATATTCTGTCAATATTTCCAGGAAGTCTTAATTCAGATAAATTAGGAAGGATTGTCAGTAGATGCAAGAATTTGTAGTAGCTCTGCAACTACAAATGTAAGCCTGATACTCGCATTCAACAGCAACACAGCAGTCTTGAGGACACTCTCCTTCCCTGCACACAGTCTCACTTGCTTTTGTATGGAGCAGGAAAGGCAGATTCAAAGAACATTTCAAGAGCACTCTTTTAAGCATCTTTTCTTTTACATGTTAGCTTTGTGAAAATATCTGGTATTGTAACTTAATGGAGTAGCTGAACTGTATTGACCTGTGAAAGCACCAAGTGCCATTTCAGCAATTTTTTCTTTACTTCTAAGCTATGCAACCTACGAGAAGCTATAATGTACAACTACAGAGAGAACAGTCACTTTTTAAGTGATAACTGATACTTGCTACTCAAACAGAGATTCAAACTCCCAAGATAGTCAGAGAGACTCAAATCTCCAATAGAGATCATCCATGACAATTAAGAATCTATAAAGATAGTGTCTATACAGACCAACAACATGATTGACAGCTGGGAAGCTGCAGAGCAAGTCCACAACTAAGGGAGGAGTTTCTGATGTCTGCTCTGGTGTTCTTGGCTATTTGTCTGGTTGTTTGGTTTGTTTTTTGTTTGTTTATTTTTTAAAAATCAGAAGGAAAATACAAAGCAGGTACAGTAGGGTGCAGAACAATGTCCTTCTTTAAGAAAATAGATATTTCCTAACAGAGGAAGGCCAAAGAGCTTTCCCTATTGTGCACCTGGAAGTCAGCTCAGTACTCATCTTTTCTGAAATGCTCTCACACCCTTTTCAACAACTTTAAGTCAAATGCTGTGAATCAAGGACACTGACAGATGTAAAACTCAACTATTACAGATCAACCCTTAGATGTCAAGTGTCCTTAGAAGTCAAGCAGATCAGCCATCACAGAAATCAAGATCAGTTGGTTTATTCTGTGTTTTTTTTTTTTCTTGCTTCAACTCATTTTCAATCTTATCAGAGGTATCATAGTTTTATAGCAGCAGTTTAGCACAAAGAGTGAAATGTTAGTATAGTCTATATCTGAAAAGTCCCATTTGCTTAATCTGTTATCAAATACCTTCTCAAGAGCAGGACGAACTTAAAACCTCAGGGTTGAAGTAATTTTTGCCTGTTTTCTCTAATATAGCTTGACAAGCAATTCAATAAAATAGAAAGTCATTACCTCATTGCTCGTGAGTAACAACCCAAGACTCAAAGCATCTTAAGAAACAGAGCAGGCTACAAGAATGGGGCACATAAAAGAGGAAGAGCTTGCACAATTTAATCACATATGGCTCTCTAAACCCCTCGATATTTCAGTAAGCCAATATTTATTAGATTATGTATTTTAAATAATAAAAATTTAATTTAAAAAAAAATTATTCCTAAATAAATTACAAAGGGGAAAAATACCAGTAAAGAGTCATAGCTTTTCATTGAGAAAAACTGTTTACATTTCCACAAGAGCTACAAGGATGCAAGTGAGACAAAACAGCCCCTGGAAAGTCCCCAGGGTTGTACTGTGAAGCTAGAAAAGAGTCTTTGAAGCTGTCAACTTATCATGTTTCTGTACAAATAGCTTTTAACCTCTGGGAGTCTTCCTAAGAATTAAGTCTCCTCTGGAACTAAGTTTCACATGAATAGCCTCCTGTTCCCAAAGAGAGAAAGACTTCAGTTCTATGATTAGAAAAGAAAACTGACTCTGATATTATCTATCCAATTTTGCAGTATCCTGTTTCAGCATACTCTGTCTTTTTTTTTTTTTTTTTTTTTTTTTTTACACAAAGCAAGTCATACTTACTGGACTTAGTGGAACAGAAGTCAGTAAAGATCAACACCTCTCTTTCTAACAAAATCTTGAGCTTCAATTTTATGTTTTACCTACCTTTCAAAAAATTGTCTTCAAAGAACTGGGATGTAACCTTCTGTGGATAATTTATTCCAGCACCCCACACAATCAGTGGTGTTAAAGTTTCTGAAGGATGACCAGCTCCATGGGATCCTAAGACACACCAAACATAAAAAAAAGTATAAACTTCAAGACACGTGCTGTAAAAACAAACAACATCTACATGCAACAAAAAATATACACACGAGTACTAAGTTCTTGTTACAGCAGACATACTAATATCCTGTTACAGGAAATCTATTCCAGCTTCACAGTTTATTTTTTGCTACTAACAATAAAGTTATAATAAAATAACTAAATTCAAGTTGCAAGTTGGGAAATCGGTACCAGTTAAGTCATTATAATAATTATTAAGTCCATCTATGAAGATAGAATTTGAATATTAAAATCCCCAAAGTGTTAACATGCAGAAACTAAAGCCATAGTACTTGAAAGCCTCAAGGTGTAGAGGAGTTACCTGCCCAAAACATATGCCTATCCTGAGCATCCCACCAAAACCAGGAATTGTTAATCTCAGTAAAAAGAACCGATCTCTGGTTTCCCAATAAGAATTAGACTTCCATTTCAAAACCAGGAAGCAACATGCATTGCAACTATCATCCTTTCCACTGTGATACAAGTTCATTTTTAAGGTTTTAAAGCCTAGGAGCACACTCCTTAAAAATTGATAAAACATGACTTCCTTCCCTGGGGAAATTGATTCCCTCCAGATTAACGTATCAGCAGCCAAAAGGAGGAAGCTTGAAAACTATGACACCTCAGCAGCAGTTGCACTGAAGCAGGAGCCACACAACCTTGAAAGGAACGCTAGCCATTAAACCCAGTGGTTGAGGTACCACATCACTGAGAAAACCCAGCCTCAAAGGGAATAACATTGTTATACAAACCATATGCTGGTCACTGCATGGTCTACGAGATTATACATGTTCTTTATATTTGCATAGACACACGCTCCTCCTTGTGTGTGCAAATATATATTTAATAAATACAAAGGACAAAGAAAGCACATTGTTGAATAGCCTCAAGGTCGTTCCCAATTTCATACCCCATTCTGTCCTTAAAACAATCACTATGGCAGAGCCAAAGTGCCAATTCTGCTTTCTTTAAACAGCCTTAGGCTTAAGAACACACAGGTCTGGGAATTAGATTCCTGATGTTCTTAAATCCCTTGGAGGGCATTCTCTGGGCTTAAAAGCAGCAACAACTGCTCTTCTTTGCAGAACTTGGAAAAAGAGCTGATGGAGAGAGCACATCCTCCATCTTCCAGACATGAGTTTTTTCTTTCTGTTGCAGGAGGAAAGGGAAATTTTGGTGAGCTTACATTTTAGCCAAGTCACCAGCTCCATCAGTATTTTACTGAGACTCTGCCTCCATGAATACTTCAAGACAGATACAGTTGAGACAGGCAACTGTATCCATTCTCTCCCTGTTACAAGAACCAGGTTTCAGCCTGATCTGAATGATAAGAGGGGAAGAAAAATAATTATTTTCATCTGGGTCTGGTCCCTGCTCCACCCCTCAGCACCCTCCAAACACACCTTCTCAAGAGAAAGGGAGGGAAAGAGTGCTGTTGTTTAGTTGTCTGTTCTCTGATCCAGCACATCGTACAGTAGTACTCGTATCAGGATTATAGCAGGAAGAAGTGGGCAAGGTGAGGGTGGGTATGGAACTGCCTACGTTAGTGGTCAGCAGTTCCATTTGACATCAGCTTAAAGCAAAACCATGGAGTCAGACAGAGAAAGTAAATGACTTCATTGGTCTTTGCCAGCAACCACAGATTCTTTATCATGTCTAATCCAGAATATGTTCTTCTCCCTAAAAGGTCCCCCCTGACATTCTAATGTTTAATTTGTTTTAAAACTGGTGCGCGTCCCATTCTGCAAATAACCACTGAAAGGCTGCAGCAGTTGGTACACTACAAGTTCAAATAAAAGCTACCGAACTAGCCTTCAGACTGCTCGCTATGAGCCTGAGCAGCATCTCTGTGTTTGCTCTTGGACTCACTAAAGTCAGCTTTAAAGTTATTAACACTTCTGACAGACGATCAGGCTTTATCTTGGAGGCAGGAAGAGATGACAAAAAACCATGACAGACCAGTGGTTCTCAAAGCCTGAAGAGGTACTCCTATCACCTTTTATTCCCATTTCAGAGGATCCAGCACGTAATGAGAACGCCCCTACAGCAAACTCTGGCAGTGAGGAAGGCCAACAGCACTGCAGGCTGTTAACAGGGGCATGGTACAGGGAAAGGGTTATCCTTCTCTATTGAGTGAGATCACATCTAGACAGTTTCGGGCTCCTCTGGTACAGGAATACATCCGTCACCTAAAATGGTCTCAGGAGCACTTGCCCTGTGAGGAAAGGCTGAGGGACTGGGACTTGTTCAGCCTGGAGAAGAAAAGGCTTTGGGCAGGACAGAACTGAGCATCCTGCCTGTACCTCACTGTGAGAGGGTTTGAGAGAGGATGGAGCCAGGGTGTCACTGTGATGCATTGTGGGAGGATGAGAGAGAACAGGCATAAGTTTAAACAAAAGAAGTTCAGATTGCAGATAAGTAATAACTTTCCCCCTCGATGAGGACAGGCAAGCAGCAGAGCAGGTTGCCCAAAGGGGTTGCATAGGCTCCATCCCTTCAAGGTTGGTAAATAAAGCCCTAGCATCTGTGTCTGATCCCAAAGCTAATCCTGCTTTGAGTAGGTGGTTGGACTTCCTCAGGTCCCTATGATCACATATACACAAAATATATATATAGATACACCTTCATAAAAAATTATTAAATGATTACTTGAAACAGAAAAAAATATAGCAGAACTAAAATTTTTTTGCAAGTGGCAGTCAGCTCAACAGCAAGTAATATTCAAAGTGGGTTATTTTGCAATTGAGCAGTTGGTACTTGGGCTGATTATAAATAAATATACAAATATTTTTGTCACCTCTGATGACAGAATAAATCTGCATCCTTTCAATTGAAAAAGTTTAGGAGTTCAGACACAGAGTAAGATTAATTTTTCCATGACCATGCCTGAAGCCACCTTGATTCAAAAATATCACAATAGTTACAAACACACACATTGGAAGACAGACTTAGCACTTTCACTGGCTGCACACAAGGACAGGAGTATTTTTAAGGTCCTCGGGGAAAAAAAAAAAAAAAAGTCTAAATGAATTTACCATCTTAAACTCTTCTCATCTGCCCTTAATCTAGTTATGCCAAAATTGCCTCAGGGCATTTGGCCACTGCAGCCACACCTTTCACAAGTGCCCTTTGTGGGTATCTGCATGGTTGACCCCTGCCTCACTCTGTACTCTCAGCTCTTCCATCCAGTCTCCCAGCACCAGTCTCCTCTAAAAAGATCACACAGCAGTCCCATCCTTTCTGCTGTGCTTAAAAGGCCCAAATAAGCAAAAAGATTCTCTTCTCTCCCCATTCCCTCCCCCTGTCAAGTTTTTCACCAGAGCCTGGACAGACTTCGCACCTTTTCCAGGTGCTTCAGAGCACCAAAGTGAAAACTGTATCCCACATGGGCTGGACCAACTTTGCTTCTGGCAGCCAAATAACAGAGTCTCCTCCTGCTTGGGTTAGTTCTCTGCAGAGGAGGTATTCAGGTCTTTCTACCCTTACTAGCAGCCACTGAGGGAGTTAAACTTTACTTTACTGCCTTTTTTCCGTCCAGATATGGAACACAGCTGTCACAGCAATTTGCATGGAGTTTGATACGCAACCAACACTTAGGATATCAAATCAAAGCAGAGGCTCCAAAGCTTCTAATGGGACAGAGCTCTAATCACACTCCAGATGCCTAAAATCTCAGCTGACTCAGCATTTAAAAACACTCACCCCAATCTGTCATTCCATGGTCAGAAGTTAAAATAAATGCAGTTTTTCCATCATTTCCATAGAAATGGTCAATCATTGAAGCAATTTCTTTCACACCCTCGTCAACTTTTTTAATATTCTCCTTGTATTCCCTTGAAAAATAGGAAAAAATGTTAGATTCAAGGTGGTCATAATGCCCAGTCCTTTTATTATAGACAGCTTTATCCTCTACAGAAGCTCAAGCTAACAAAAGGCTTCCTAGGTGTAATATCTCTCCTCCTCTGAGTCTTATGTGAGATATTGTCACAGCACAGTTTGAAGGTTCCTGAAAACACAGTTTCAAATGGATTTATACTTCAAATATGACCTGTCCTTGACTTAAGACTATAATTTTATCACTCTCACCTATCAGGCAAGTTAAGGAGAATAAGAAAACTAAGAAATTCTGGAAAACTCAAACACCTTAAATTTTAAGTTGTAAAAATTACTTTAAGACAGTAACTAAATAGCAAATAAAGATCTCACCACACAGGCGCTGTTTTGAGATGGTTCATAGATCAGGACAACTCTTAGAGTTTTGTGGAATAGAGGCTAAATAAAAAAATCTACATATTTTTAGAAAGAGTGACCATGATTAATTTTCAGGCAACTAATTTTCTCTTTGGTGCTGTTGCTAAAGTCAGTTTTAAAACTCTATCTTCAAAAAAATCTTAACAAAAAAACATGAGACATATAGCAAATATGAACTTTGGAATGATGTAGGGCATCATAGTATGAACTTTGAAAGTATGATCATGAGAAAGACATAAAATCCTACATTCAAAGCACATGAAGAAGTGAAAAGAAAGTTCGCAAATAATGCATTTCAATCCAAACTGGTAATGAGAACTGTTAATCTAAACTCTTCTTTGTTCAAGAGTCATAAGGAAAGCCAAAGCATAATGTTGGAATTTGCAGCCATTATAACAGAGCTTACTGTTGCCTGTAAACTCAACTACATAATTTCAGCAATGGGAAATCTGAAAACTGTATCTATTTTATGTTTAAAACTGTCATTTCCTGCATATCCACTAGATTATGTGTTGGCTATAACTAAAACAATCTGCTAAAAATCAGACTCGAGTACCGGAGCGTAACCAGGTATACTGTATATAGCAAAAATTTGTGACTTCTATAGGTGGTACCTTAAAAAACAAAATAACCCAGAAAATTCAGAACATAGGTAATCACGATTACATATATGACCCACAACAATAACAGTCTTGTTTCTGGCTGGATAAATAGCACTGTTAAAGAAGTTACTGCTTGCATTTAAAGCTAATAAGAAAGGTATGCTTAATATCTCAATTACCTTGAGTTTGGCCGATGAGCATGTCCATTTGTGTCTATGCCTAGCAAATGTAGGAACAGAACCACTTTATCTTCATTCAGTGCAGAAAACAATGTTTGATTACTTCTAGAAGAATTAAAGAAGCTCTGCATGGAATAAGCCATTAATATATTAATCTGAGTAAAATGGAAAAAGGTAGTTTATTAAAACTAAAACACATCTGTTTTCATATCAAAATACTAGTAGTTATTAGAGTTAAAAAAAGGGAAAAAATAATTACTTCCCAATTTACTTCTTGGAGGATAACAACTATCCCTATAGCCAGTCCACAGTTTCAGCTTAATCTAGGGCAACACTCGAGGTGTCCTTTTTTTGTCTTGGGAGACTTCTCGTGCTTTTGTTTGTTAGTTTTGTTTTTGTTAGCTTTGTTTGGGGGCTTTTTTGAGTTACTGTAGGCAGAAATACCAGCTAATTGCATATCATCCCTTCTTTGCCCCCTGTATTAACACGACAAGAGCCATTCCTGAGCATCACTTATAGCTTTACATTTGCGCTCATTTACTGAATTTACACTGGAAGTAACGATCTCAAACACTCTTGCTTTGAAAGCAGGTATTGCAGGACTGAAATACCAAGCTACAACTTGTTCATAGAAACTAAAATAACAGAACAAAACATGACATGTTTTGAAAATACATGAACTACAGGACATACATCTGCCTTGCACATGTCCTACTTAAGCATCCCTGAGGCAGATGCCAGGGGAGGATTTTCCCCTCAGATGCAATGAGTCTTGACACAGCTATTCTGTGTTAGACCAGCCATATTACAGTAATGCAAAATGCAGGCAGACAGCTATTCCAACATCAGTTCCTTAGTAATAACACTGCCCAAGGAAACAAAGTTGGATAGGGTTTTAGTCCAAAGAGCATCTAGAGAACCTTGCAGTACACTAATATAAATGAGAGTGTTTTCAAATTTCATGCAAGAGTCCAGGGAAAATGCTGGTATAGAGCCAGGGAACCATTTCTGCCACCAAAGGACAGGGTAGTCCACCATACACTTGAGACAGCAGTGGAGCTCTTAAAAACCAAAGCTCACACCTTGTGTAAACAAAAGTCACTGTACCCAGAGGAAGACCCAGCTGGCAGCAACAGTATCATAGTAAGCTAAGTCAGGAAACCATGGCCATATGCAATTCCACCTTTTTAACTGCCTGAATATACACAAGCTGCATCGACTAACAATTGCACGCTCTCAGCTTGTCCAAACAAAATCATGACCAAAGTCCAGTGATATTTTAAATAAAGACCCAAGAACGAAATCTGATAACATTAAATAGCAATATAATTATTTTTAAAAAAATTTCCATTTCCTGTAGAGATTCGTTCACCTGCCCACATTTGATGACAGAGTGAAGAAACTTTCCAGAGCACATCAGTAATATGCAGGATACAGTATAATTCTGTTTTCTTATTTTTAATTAAATAAAAGGAAACAACATATCAAAACAGACAGGAAACTACAAAAATTGAACCCTAAATGGTAGATCAATATTTGAAGGCACATATTTTTCTATCACAGA